AATATTAGTATATATAAAAGCACGGATATTGGCAAGACTTCTAATTTAAGGAAAATGGACGTCTGTATTCATTATATTTTTAAATTATCATTTTAAAAAAAATTATTATAAATATTAATTAGATTTATCCAATTTATATGAAAGAATTCTAATTCCATTTCCAGATGGCTTTCTGCACTATGTTTCTTGTCCAATGGTCCTCGTCATGGTTGGGGTAAATTAACAACATTTGGAGTATGGATCAAAAGCTGGTGGATAGGAATCGATTTCAGGTTGGGAAAAGCAAGCAACTTAAACATTAATCAATCCAAAAGTGCCAAATGAAACAGCAAATGAACATTGTTCTTCAAATAAACTCATTCAATATCAGTGCATAGGTAATCAGGATGTCCCTCCCAATGTTCTTTCCCTTGCCACGGCTGCCTGCGAGCGTCCACAGGGAAAAAAAACAATCAGCACTCATTGGAACTCTATGATGGAAGTTCCATTGGGAAAAAAAAATGATGTAGAAGCCAAAGTGAAGACATTAGAAGTAACATCTATATCAAGGAGGAATTAAAAGGTTAAGAACCTGCTTTTCCCAATTTGTTAATGATGTTGCAAGAGCAAGCAAAATTGCTTGCGTGGTAGTTCCCATTAATATCCCTATCAGAAGACCTTTCCCTTCAAAATGCAGAATGAAACACAAAACGACAGCTAGTGGAATTCCAACCAGATAATATGCTCCAAGATTGGCATAAGCCCCAATATGCTGCCAACCGCTTCCTCTAGCAACCCCTATTGCACAGAGACAGAATTTTATAGATGACCCCTGAATGAAAAAACAGAATTGCTTTGACAGAATAAGATGATTATGCCAATGGTTTTCAGGCTACAGATTCTGTTGACGAAAAATGATATTTGAATTTTGAAGATGATTATGTTCACAAATTTTCACGTGGTTATTAGTCTGATGAACTTGTTGACCGGTTGTTGTACAAGTTGCTCTAAATCAAACTGCTAATAGTTTGAAAGACAGAACTTCATGGAAAAGCTTAGGGACTAACCAGAAAGTACTCCCTGCAAGCTGTCTACAATGATCAAAAGGGAAAGCAGAGGGACCAATTCTGCTGTGTAATTCACCACCTCCTTGCGACTTGTATAAGCATATCCCAAAACATGGCGGCAGCAGAAGAGAATGATGCTCACACTAACTACCTCCACAATGTTAAGAATTAATGCAGCAACAACAGCTGTAGGAGCTGCGTGTGGATTCCAAGCTCCTAGTTCATTTGAAATCCGAATGCTACAGAAATGATTAAGAATTTGTTATAATATAGATATATGAAGAACAAACACAAGTAAAAAAAAATCGTGTTAATCCGATTTACATCATTTAGTTTCTAATTTTTTCTTTTCTTTTCTACGTGATTTCGTCAATATAGCCAAGGGAAGATAGGTTTAGAGCAAAACCTTGCAGCAGAACCGACTGAATATGGTATAAGAAAGTGCAGTGTGACAATGGTAAGGCTGCTCAAAAAGAAGGAATTAGAACAATTCTGTTAAAGGCGGCAAAAATTGGACTTACTGTTATATTTATAGCAGCTTAACTACTGATAAAGCAGTTACCATATTGAAAGAGATGAGGTTTGGAGCACTGGATTTGGTAAAAGCCCAGAAAGCAAAACAAGCAGCTCAAATGACCACCATTCCAAGCTACAACCATGGCAATCGAAGGTATATGAATACATAAGACAGTGACATAATTTAAATCCAAATCTTGGGAAGTAAGATATAAAATGGATAAATACCACATCATTAAAGCAGAAGGGATGGCCAAGCGAAAGAACTCCTTCATGCTCATAAAAATGTCTACTGATATCCAAAACCTGGTTTTCTCACAGGCTGATGAGTACTTAATGTATAATCCAAGAAAGATGACATTTAACCAATATGACACACCAACAGATAATGCTGATCCTATAATTCCTAGTTCCAGCTTAAATACTAGAAGCCAGCAAAGTGGTAAATGGAAACACAGTATCACACAAGAGCTAAAAAGCATTGGAAAGATCAGGCTCTGAGCCAGGAAGTATCGAATCAGTGATTGATGAAGGGCATAACCAAACAAAGCAGGGATGAGCCAACAAGAGTATTTGCCTGCTACACGCGCGATTGACGGGTCTTGGCCCAATAGAGTTAGTAAATCTTCCATAAATATCCAGAGGACAGAAACTGGTATAGAAACAAAAACTAGAGAGACCATTGCACAGCAGGTAAAGGTTCCAAGTTTATGATATTGCTCTGCTCCATAAGCTTGTCCGCATAAGGTTTCCAGTGCACCAGCCGTTCCTAACTGCTTGAAGTTTCGCCATTGAGTCAATATAACATAGAAATCATAATTAGAATTTTGGCCTTTCATTTAGAAGCTCAAAAAAGAAAAAAATCATTTACTATATAAACTTAGTTTTTTGAACTATTTTGGTAGACTAAATGAGTCTTCTTCAGCAACTAGTATTTGATTGCGACTTTGCATTATCTAAAGGCAAGCTGACTTCATTGACATTTGTTTCACTAAACCAAACTTTGTAGTTCTCATCTGTAAAATTAACAAATCCCATAAGATGTAAACATAGCTATATCACCAACAGAAAACAGACAAAACAGAACTGAAATTCTAATAACTTAAGATTAATGTTTCAAATGAGGTGAATTTATATATCAATTAATTCCCACTTCTGGTTTAATCAAACCAAAAAGGAGGCCCCAAAAGTAATAATGAAACCCCGATTCATAGTTGATAAAGATCAGTGCAAAGTGAATCAAGTAGTGATTGTTAAATGTAGATTCAGTTCTTATACATGTGAGACTACAATCTGTAGACATGGTGAAATTTTTGAACACTAGTGTCAACATAGTAAATGCCTGTACTTTAAAACTGCAGTAAAAGAAAGAGGACATTACGAGGAGACTAAAGCCAGTAACGTTAGCAAAAGAAGAAGCTAAAGCAATCCCAGAGAGTGAAAGTTCACCAAGGTGTCCTGCCATCATTACTGCAATCAGCTGCAAAAGATAGCGAGACACTGTCACTACCACCATTGGTGCTGCAATCCGGATCAGCTTTTTAAGCTCTTCCAGGAAGCTGCCCCATGACACCGTCCATGTTCTCTTTTCCCTTTCCCTTTCCCTTTCTGGTAATAGCAACTCCTCTTCCATACTTTCCTGGACTGATGCTGTAGCAAAGCTTTGCTGACTGGCAGTTGGAAGACTAAATTTAGACCAGCCAAATTGTAAAATTTTTAGCAGGTTTTTCAAGTAGAATAAATGATTGTTCTGTCACAGACAAAATTATTGCAGTTAAAAGGTTAGCTAGTAAAATCAACCATCTTTACTGTACTCCACCACCAGCACAAATACTAGCATTAACTCATTATTAGTGCCATCAGGGTGTAATTATGCTCAATTTTCTGATAGCTTGAAGGGGGAATTTCAACAGATGGGACCTTTTTGCTTTAAATAGAGATCATTAATTAGGCTATGCGTCCATCCCGTGCATGCTGGTACCATGAAAATTGTGCCAGAGCCATGTATCTCTGACATAGTAAATACAAAGTGATTGTTATAAATGAAAATTAATTTAAATGCTTTTGCTTTACTTAAAAGTAAATAGAGTTTTTCTTTTTTTGTAAATCAAAGGGAAATGCCTCAGAGATTCGAACTCTCGCGGGGAACCATTAAGCACAAAAGTAAATAGAGTTGTTAACAATATGGAAGTTGATATTAATTAGTTTATTGATTCTATGGCAAAAAAATTTAGTATGTTAATTTAATTAATGATCAATATGATCTCAATTTTTAATGGCGTTTAGTACATGAAAATTCATCAAATGATTTTTTTTTCTTTACCAAAGGTCAACTTATATTGAGGTTTACAATTCTATCATCTTACTTCTTTTTGGGTTCATTTTACAATTTTGGTACTCAAATTGTGATGTAATGGTTGATTTGGTACCTTAAACTTATAATTTGTAATTATTATTTGTAATTAAGTATTTGAACTCTGCTTTCGTGAACCAATTTGAATATTTTCTTTAAAGCAATTTTATTAACACTAAACCACAATGCCATCAGAAGTCTCAATACTGACCATTAAAAACTTCTATTGGCATACGAATATCTGCCTTGTGCAACATGCAACTTGTATGATTACAGATATCATTACCACTCAATAAGTCATCTGGGGCTTCTCATCCTTAACATAATCTAGTCACATGTATGAACAAGCTCTCAACCTTTCTTCAAAAAAAACCAGGACCAAATTTGAACCTATCTAGGAGGAAAGTGAAGTGAATTTTTCATATTCTTTAACAAAAAAGTAGATTTTCAAGGAAGATATACCAAAAAATAATGTTCGTTGACAATTCAATAGATATTCAATTGAAAATAAATGCAATAAAGACAAGAAGTGTAGTGTCGAGAGAATTGTAAACTCAGATTTGATCCTTTTTCTTGATTTTCAATCAATACAAATATCTTTTTAAGAACGATTATTCTGTGGAAATAGAAAAGGTTATAAATAACTATTATGTATAGTAATTTGGTTCAATTTTTGGTTGGTCAAAATAATTTTAGAATAGTCAAAAAATGATAAAACGATAAAAATAACTTTCATTATAATATATAATTTTTAATTTACAATATTTATTTTTTATAATTTATCAACAATGTTAATAAATTTTTATTTAAAACTTCAATATGATTATTTATTTTAGTTTTAAAATATTAATAGCTTATAATTTATTTAGAATATTAATCATTTATATTAATATGATTTTTTATTTATTATTATTATTTTTAAATATTAAAATATTAAAATTTATAATTAAAATTTTAATATAATTTTAAATTTTAAAATATTAATTTTTAGTTGTTTAAGAGATTTTGAAAATAAAAAATTCAATATAGAATTTATTAAAGCCATTTTAATTCTAGTTTTGTCATCTTAAAATAAGAATCAATTTAAATTAACAAAATAAATAACGTGGTAAAAAACAACCAATAAAAATGTTCTGTGTAAAAAAATATCATGTCATTTTTATCTGATTTTTCAGGATTTTCTTAAACTCGAAAAGTAGAAGAAAGAAATTAAAAAAAATGAAAATGAAAAGCAAAAATGGGGAAAAAAATTAGAATAATATGATTTCTTGTACAACTTAACCATTTGACAGTGAAGATCTTTGGCTCAAATAATGAATTTTGTTTGAAGAATGCAAGAAACGAGACTGGTAGTGGTAGGTTTTCAATTCGACCTTTCAGAAATTCCAAAAACTAAAGTCCAAACATGATAAATTGAATTTTGGTGATAGTTAAAACAATACAAGGAAGCAGGAGTACTGGTTTTCTTTGTTTTTTTTAATGGGACAAGTAACGAAGACTACTGTTAATATAGATACTGACATTTATTTGCTTTTATTATTCTACAAGTAGGTCAGGATATAAATATTGACGAACATGGCCTCACAAATTCTTTTCCATTTAAAATAATAAATATCAAGAAATATATATTATTCTCAGCACCAAAATAAAAAGCTATACAATATTAATTATTTCCAGCCCCCTTATGTAATTGTTCTTTATAGAAACCCAAAAAATATAATTCATAGTAAAAATAATAATCATAACCATGTTTATGACACATAACTATTAATTTACAAAATAAACCAATACAAAATTGAAAAATAAAAAAAACCTCATGCATTCTTATGTATAAACCAATATAACTTGAACCTGAATAAAATAAGTTTTGACATGTATAAACTATTTTTGTCCATTTTCCTCGAGACTGTAAACAGTTTGTCTTATTCAAGTATCAAACATTTTGAAGCAATCTTGATTATTCCTCATTTCCACTTTCATTTTTCCATCGCTCCTCATTGGAGTTCGTGGCCTTCTTATGGTCCAATCCGTATTAAATAAGGTTGGTGAATATTTATCTGTTTTAAATAAGATGGCTGAGCTACCCCTTTTATAATTGTTGTGGATGCTTTATCATGGCTATCATCAAAGCTGCAATTCACCTCTTTTTTTTTTCATCCAAATTACTAATGATTTTCATTAATAAATTTTGATAATTAGCGGTTCAATAATCTTAAAAAGTTAAAGTCAAATATTTAAATGGTGTCTTTTTTTATTGAAATAAAAAAGAGGTATTTTTTATTAAAGTTAAGGAACAAAGAGCAAATGAGAAAAGGAAATTTATAAATAGGTATTATAAATTGAAAAAAATTGATTTTATATCAAAGAAAAAAATAGCAATTAGAGATTATTAAATAAATATTATCTTTAGAGGATGAAAGAAATAGTTGAGAATTAATAAGATTATGGAAATTTGAAAGTAATAAAAAATTAAGATCTATTGGGCATGTTAGAAAAATGAGAGAATACGTTATTTTATTAATTATTTTAATTTTTATATGTTTTAATGATAAATGAGAT